CCAACCCAAACCAGTCTGGGATTCCATGATTTCTTTCTCTGCACCTCATGTGAGGCCCAGCTGGTCTCCAGCTAGAAATAAAATCCCCACAGAGTTAGTGAAATATCGTTACTCTCCTTGGAGATACATGTCGTTAAACAAAGGCTTTGTTTTTACAGCTACGATCACTCATGGCGCTTGTGGGACTTGGAAGCTCAGGAAGAGATTCTCCATCAGGAGGGGCACAGCAAAGGGGTCTATGACATTGCCTTTCATACGGATGGGTCCCTCGCTGGGACTGGGTGAGTTTGTGGGCGATTTCTGCTGGTGAGGCTGAGCAGACTCTGGCAGTTGCTGAAGTCTGATGGGTAACGCGGGCATTCTCTCATCCTAGTGGACTGGATGCTTTCGGCCGGGTGTGGGACTTGCGCACAGGACGCTGTATCATGTTTCTAGAAGGCCACCTGAAGGAGATCTATGGGGTTAACTTCTCCCCAAATGGGTAAGAAAAGAACTTGCATGGTTTACGTGGGAGCTCTGAGTGCAAACCCCAGCTCCCAACAGCGTGTTCTTCCTCCACCCTTTGGTAGATACCACGTCGCAACTGGCAGTGGTGACAATACTTGCAAGGTGTGGGACCTCCGCCAAAGGAAGTGCATCTACACCATTCCTGCCCACCAGAACCTGGTGACTGGGGTGAAATTTGAACGTAAGTACCTCCTATCCAGTGTTCCTTATCCCTGCCTCTCCTGAGCTGAGGTGGCCGCTCAAAAACACAGAGAAGGCCTGTACTGGTTCGCAGAGATTTGTCATGGTTTTATTTGCAATTCTCACTTTTCCCTTTTTCTCATCCTCTGCTGCAGCCAATCACGGGAACTTCCTGCTCACAGGCGCTTACGACAACACGGCAAAGATCTGGACTCACCCTGGCTGGTCCCCTCTGAAAACGCTGGCTGGCCACGAGGGAAAGGTGATGGGACTGGATATCTCCCTCGACGGGCAGCTGATAGCGACTTGCTCCTATGACAGAACCTTCAAGTTGTGGACAGCAGAGTAGCTCAGAGGTGCTGCTGATGAACTGGAACGGAGACATCAATGGCTTTCAACTAGACTTGCTTTTTTTTATTATTAAAGAAACAAAAAAAGGCTTCGGCTATTGCAAGGTGCATTACGGCAGCTGTAGTCACTGGCCCGTCTTGGGCTGAGGTGGTGTTGAAGCACCTGTGTTTGCCAGGGCTTGGCTGAAGTCAAATCTTGGGTGATGTGTTTTCCACTTTTTAGGACTGTTTTTATACTGCAGATACTGCTTTTCTGCTGTAATTTGGAGATGATCCATCTGCTTCACCCTCCCTCCCAAGTTAGGCTCACAGGTTTTCTCCAGTCTGTTCTAAACATTTGTGGGTAGCGGCACAACCCCCGGGTATGGTGCGTTGTACAGCCTCTCCTAATGCCCTTCTTACCTTCCATTTTCCAGGAGCCTTTGGTAGGAGTCTGGCTTCAAACTTGATTTGCATTCAGAGAAAGAAAACTAGCTGTCAGCATTAGAGGAACACGGTGCCCTGGTTCTCCTGCCTCTGCAGAGGTAGTCACTGAACGGAGGCCTGTGCGCCTTTGTGTTCACTCACAGTAGATGTTAAAGGCCTGGGAGGTTTTTCTTTCCCATGTATGACCTCAGACCATCTCATGGCGTAGCTCCTTGAGCTGTCTCATGAACTGGGTGTTTCAAATCCAGGTAGGGACCTTCTGTTGAAGTTTTTGCTGTGTCTCACCTGACGTGATACGAAGAAGGCTATTTCAATGTAGGATTGTTTGTTCTAACTTACGCTGTGGGGAGCTTTCTTCTTGTTTATGCTTTACATTGAAGTTTTGCAAATGTTGTGTTCTGGAAAAATCAAAATATGTTTTGAATGTGTACCCTAGCCTCTGGATCTGTCTAAGGAATGGAGAAATTACAGGTACTTCACAACACACAGTTTGATTTCTGTCTGCTATCGTAAAAACCTTCAGCAGAAAAGAGAAGACCAATTCACCTCTCCTTTGTCACCTGGAGAGCAGCTGCCCACGCTCCTTGGGACCGAACACCGTTCTGCTCTCAACACTTGCAGTGCAGTTGGGGATTGTGTTTTAAGAAAAAAACCAAACCGAATGCACTCACAAGTTACTTTTCTTCTAGCAGAGTGTTGGGTCTTTCTCCTTTCCAGCAGTGTGGTGGCAGCTGCCACGTGTTGTACGCTAGCTCTTATTTACTCCCAGGGAAAATACCATGGGACGAGAGGCCAGCAACTAACACAGAAACATCTTTCATTGCGGTCTTGTGTACAAGCCCAGACACCCAGCTACGCGTACTCAGCTGCTTCTTCGGTGTCTCACGCAGCGTCCGCTAAAGGGACCGCGTGAGCCTTTGTGGGGGTCTGTCAGCCGCACAGCCAGGGTGTCCCTGGCCATAATCCCCCACCCAGGGTGCTTCTCATCAGGTTGCCATTCATGGGAGGATCCTGGCCCAGGAGGCTCCCACATTCTTAGCTGGCTTAGGATGAAATCTTGGACACGAACAAACGCTCTGTGTTTTACACTCACATTGTTCTGGCGTATAAATCCGAGCGCAGGGTTTCTGTCACGCCGTGTTCAGCTCTGCTCAAGTGGAGCAAGGGCAGGAGGGTGAGCGTTCCCTGTCCTGTGCCCTGGTGTCCAGTGCTGCCCCTGGCCTCTTGCAGCTCATCTCCTCCCTTAGCCCCCATCATGTTTGTGTGGAGGTTTTGTAAATAAAATGCACGAGGCTCTTTCAGTAGCGAGAACTTGGCCTGAATGCATCCAGGATTTGGCTTTTCTTCTAGATAGCTCTAGTGCCTTCCCGTCCCCCACAAACTGAAACCAGTAAATCCCCCTGCCCCAGTGGTCAGACACGTTGCCGCTCTACAGGCGCAGAGTCTCCTGGTGCTCGTAGTCAGGGGAAGCTCTCAGGGAGTCGCATCGGGCAGTCTCTGCTGGAAAGGTTACTATGGTCAAAACGCTGCCACCTCCTCCAGCGCTGGGTCTGCGCGGTCGCTCACCCGGAGTACGTGGATTCCCGAGTTAGAGCTGGCACAGAGCAGCGTGGAGCTGGCGCAGACAGCCAGCGAGGACAGAGGTCCCGATCCCTCAAGGCACAAGGTGGCCAGGCAGGCTGGGGAGAGGGCACGCGAGTCACTCAGGACATGGTTTGCTGACATGAGACGTGACTGCACCAACCTCCCAGCTCTGCCCAGGTGCGCCCGTCTGCTCGTCTAAGAAGGGTGTCCAGATCCTGCAGCCAAAGCATCGGGACGTGCCCTCCAGAAGAGAGACCCTCCACCCCCGTGAGCCCCATGGGGATCTGTGTGTTGCCCAGCCAGGCAGTGGCCAGCTCATGGGGACCCAGGCTGAGGTCAGGCTCTGCCCCCTCCCTGGAGAGGACGCAGAGATGGGTGGACAGACAGATCACGCTGGGCAGAGCTGCAGGGCTCGCCTGGAGGCATGCCCAACATGCCTTTTTCTCCCAAATTGCATACAGTCCAGAAAATTGTTTCCTAAGGGCTGTGCTACACTCAACGTGCAGTTATCATTGATAAGCCTCCAAAAGGGAAAGTCAGATTTACGATATCCAGCACCACATCAGCCCTTCTGTGTGTGTCCATTACTAACAATACCTGGAGGCAGGATTTGTGCAGAGACACCAGCCCGGCTCTGAGCTGCTCACAGAGCTGCATCTGGCATGGACGTCCAGGCAACTGCCTCTCAGGGTGACTTACACCCTTCCCAGAGCGCCTGAATTAAGGCTGACGGCTGTGGAGGTCCCCCAGTTGTGAAGGCAATAGGATCAAAACAAAGCTGCTGCCAACCCCGCGGCCGTCTCGGCATGCACAGGCACCCGGGTGAGAGCAGAGGGAAGTGAAACGGAAGGTGAGAGCTTTTCTGTGGGAGGCCATCACGTTTCTGTTTTCATCCTATGTTAAATAAGTGCGTTTGGAGCAGTGCTTAGCCCCGGGGTGTCTAATGCTGATGACTTTACTGCATTCGGTGCCCGTCTGCGAACCTGAACGGCTTCCCAGGAGGTCTCTGCCTTTGTGTAAGGCATTGCTAACAGGCGTGCTGCTGTGGCAGGGCTTGGCAGGGAAACAGCCCCCGAGTCCAGCTCAGGTCGGGGCTCGGCCTCCAGCGAGCAGAGTTAACCCCAAAATGCCCCTGATTCCCCTTGAGAGGAGATCAAAGTGAGGGCAGCTGCTGACCAGCCCTCTGTCCTCCAGCACTTCTGTTCCTTACAACTTGCCACTCGTATCCTCTGTTCTCTTTGCTTTTTATCGTTTGTCCTTTCACTGCTGAAAAAAAATCCATCTCGTCATTACTGCCTTTTAGTTGAGGCAGGACACCTGTCACCTCCAACATTACACGCCCCAGCGCCCTCCTTAGCTGGCAGGCAAGCCAAAGCCCCTGGGTTTGCTTTGGGGCAAATCTCCATCTTAGGCAGGACACCTGTCACCTCCAACATTACGCACCCCAGCGCCCTCCTTAGCTGGCGGGCAAGCCAAAGTCCCTGGGTTTGCTTTGGGGCAAATCTCCATCTTGCCCTGCAGCTGGATTGGAGTAAAACCCAGAGATTTCAGGCTTCATTGTGCCCATTACCATCGGGAGACAGAAAGGAAGAAAGCAGTTTTGTTATCCCAGGGCAGGACCCTCCCCTACCTCCAGTGTCTCGGTCCCAGACCTTCACTGTGCTGTCGTACGAGGACGTGGCAATGCTGGGGGCGAGAGCTGGGCCCCGAGGAAGGAAAACGCATGAGGTCGTGGTCTGGAGGTGCCCTTTGTACTCGCGCACCCGGTTCCTCGTCTGCCGCAGGTCCCACAGCTGCAAGGCAACAGGCAGCGTTTAGAGCTCAGCATCACCTGCCAACACGGACCTGTTTTACAAAGATAGGGAGATGGGTTTGGATAAAGAGCTCCTCGCCAATCCTCGCAGTACGATGCCCCCTTTGTCTCATGCTCACAGTCCTGGAGAACTTCAAACCCAGAAGGATTTTCACCATCGGTGACTTTGAGCATGTGCCCACACCCGTTAGAGCTGACGGGGTAAGACTGTGCGGGCAGATAACCACGTCTCCAGCCTGCTCCCGTCCTCGGCCCTGCTCTCCCCGGGATGGGACGGTCTTGTCCTCTTGCTGCTCGCACACAGGGCTGAGAACCTGCAGGACTGAATCAATCCCTGGTTTGGAAACCCCTCGAGTAAGGGGTCCCTTACAGCCTTTCTGCAAGAACCTCGTGCTCGTTGATGCCATTACTGGAACAAAATCCCAGTGAGATACGCTTTCATCAGCAAGAGTATCTGCTCAGCTATTCTCTGAGCAGAGGTCTTAGAAAGGGACAGGCAGGAAGACAGCTGGTTGACACCAGTGTAAGGCCAACGCAGTGGGAGCAAGCAGATCCTTGGAGCACTGATCTGCTGCTCTCCGCTGTATGCCGTGGACATTGGAGGAAAAACCCAGGAAAAGCAGGGTTTGCCACCCAGCAAACTCACGGTGGCCTCGCCGCCCTCCCCGGCGGAGCCGCTGCTGCT